CATATGATAGATGAGATAGCAGGTTAGAATAACTATTTTCGACATAGCAGCACAATTATAAAGTTACCTGAAGCTGCATCGAAGTTATCCTAAGCCGCAGTTTCTGACTTGATCACTCTTAGAACTCTATAACTACTATTTGTCAGATTGTTTACAAATTATCGACACGTTTCCATTAAACTAGAGATAGTTTAGTGATAATGCTGTTAAAATGTCCGATTTTGGTTTCTTTTAATACTATTGTACCGTTAATTCAATGCGAACATGCAAGAATTTATCTAAGCTTAGTAGTGTTCGACACTTTCCTTATAATGACAATCTATATTGGAAAGGAAAAATCAATGTCACGAGCGGAACTCAAACCTACAGCGTGCTGTTAATGTACCAATTTTATGTCTATAATAGATTGGTAAAACTCATTAAAGTATTGTGTATAGTTTATGCGAGTAGTATACATTTAAACAAAATATTTAATTAATTTAATTTAACTAAGGCCCGTAGTATGCTGCCATGGATGCTTTGCAACAGCCGTGGTCAAAGGGGGGTACGGTTAAATGAGTTAAATAATACATTTCACCTATAAGCCAGTTAAGTGTTTTGTTATTTAGTTTTTAAGTTAAATTAAATGCTGAGATTCTTATCAATAAGTATAACACTCATATACAAAGTATATATTCTGAAAGAACTCATCTTTATATAAGAAGCACAAGTACCTTCTACAGTTAACACACATACTTCTACAATTAAATTTCATTCAACAAACACACACTTTATGTAGATTTCGGAATATTGTTTCAAAGCATAATGCTTACTATAATACATATATATACTTTTGTTGATTACTTAAACTGTTAAAATCTACATAACGTCAGAACACTTAACATAAGTCGCTTAAATAAACACATATTGTGAGATAAAGCCTTATCGTATCGCAACAAAATGTCTGTTTAAAATATTATCATCACTGATTATAAAATACCTTGTTGGCTCAACGATTCAACCCATCGCGTTACTAATACCAAACGATCTGGGGTTCGAACGACGTTCATTGAAACGGACATATAAATTTGTCGAAAATGGACATCGTGGAGAAAATGCACAGGACCTTACTCAGCATGGTGTTTGAGCGTTAAAAGTTTGAGGTTGGTGTCCGGGAGAAAAACGATAAGATTTCCATCGGATAGTTAAAATCAATTAGAAAAACGGAAACATGTGTGTCAAGTCTATATTATAGACAAGCAACCATGAGGTTCATTTTGAATGTGAAAAGCCAGCCAAATAACATGAAAAAGATGCGCTGTCGGCCTATTTTAGGTTTTGATATTCGTAGAAACCTGAAACCGAAACGCGATTAAGCAGAACGGCTTTTTCAACTGTGATCGTACGTGATCATGACCGAATGACGATATTCGAACCGCCCATTTAATATCCAGCTTACCGGAAGAAACTTGGATGTTTGAAAAGAATTATAAATTTATTAAAACATTTTTGGATCCCTTAAATTCGAACTACGACACATTGATTATTAGCCACTTGCTACCTTTAGACCAGCGAGCCCGTATGCAACTGGAATCGAAAAATTCAATTATATCCTCACTTATGTACATAACGATATATAAGAATGTCGGCTGTTCCTTAATAAAAATGTTTCTTACAAAAGCCCAGGATATGAATAGAAACGAAACATAACTCAATAAAAGACTTAAAGCTCTCTCAAGGTCAACGACATGGACTTTTATTTCGAGTTCAAATCAGTTAATGTGGGCCGACAATAAATGAACATTACTCCAAGCTTGTTGACAGGAGAAGCACTTCATTATTCAACCATCACTAATTACTGACTCGTATAAGGGTCGGGATACACAATTGGTTATTCCGTTTATTATAACGTTGTTTAAAGTACATTTCTATTTTTAAAAAGGACAGACAAGCATGAGGTTGCATCTTAGGCGTAAAAAGGAAACAAGGTAGACCGTTCAGGAGGTGGCACGACGAATATAAGGAAACTGCAGGCATGTTCTGGGAACGAAGCGCTTCAAACAGAACGAAGTGGACCTAACATAAACAACATTTCACAAATATGAATAAACTGTTAAAGGAACGTTTAACATGTTTGGTAATAAGAAGCTTTAAATATAACACTTTAACGGTTTAAAAAGTTATTCGAACACGATTTTTAACTTGGACCGACGTTTGGATGCTTTGCACAGCATGGTCACGGGGAGACCAAACGTCGGACCGAAGTAAAAAATAATTTTCAAATAAGTTAACTAATATATCGCGTTTTAAACCGTTAAAGTGTTTTATTTAAATGTGTACTACTCGCGTAAACTATAGACAGTATTTAAGTAGATCTAGTTCGAAAATATCCTATTCTGAAATTATATTCTAATGATATTTTACTGCAATTAGTAACGGTTGAAATCATATGCGCAAGAGTAGAAGAACAAAACGGATCTCTATTGCCGTGAATTCATATTTCGCTCGTATAATTTTTTTTCGTTTACAATACACTTTAATATACAGAGGCAAAGTGTGAAAAGTATAATGACGAAATATTTACGAAGTAATTATCCATTCGTCTTTATTGTTTCTATAATTTTAATTGATCCTTCTGATAATTGGATAAAAGTATAAGCGCGATATTACGCTATAATTTGATTAGGACAATGACCTGAAACGTGTGCTTTCAAATTGAGCTTCATTCGTTGTACAATGGAAGCAGGTGTTTCCTTTTGTATCTGTATTATTTCTTTTCGATTATAATTGAGTTAACTCCGATTTGGTCCTTATAATGGGCACTGGATCCATTAAATGAAGTCTTTAAATAGAAAGCTTTCAAGGCTTTATTTAGCTAACACGTGTAAACGAGATTTAGGGTTAAGCTTAGAATAAATACTACTAGACATGAGACACGCTCGTACAGACTTCTAATTCGAAGTTCTAATTTTAATTAATCCCACGTTATATATATCCGTATATTTACACTCCCAAATATTTTAAAATAAATTTTATAATTCTATTTTTAAATATTTGGTAGCATGTTACGTAATAAAGCAAATAACAAGTGGATAGTTTAAATTACGGACGTCAATAAAATAAATTGATAAACGCCAAATCGATATTTATCATGTAATTAACTTCAATTAGCAAATATAGATAATAACATTATAAAATTATTGCATCGAAATAACACGTATTTTTTATTATATATGTAGGGGAAAAGTATTACTAAGTTATTGACACATACATATTATCTTTAATATGTCTTTAAATGGCGAAAATGTTTCTACTTCATCACAACATTTTAATAAAACTTATGCAATATTTAAAAAAATACTGCTCGTAACATTTGTTAAATACTCGACCAAACGGGGTAATTGCTTTTTGACAAACAGCTACCTGTGGTGCTTTGTTTACCATGCTATGCATAGTGGGTAGATCACGATTATAAAATAGATTTTAATATAAAGAAACTGTTCTAAAATTACAGACTAGAATTTTAAATTTCTCCAAGGAAAATTTCCGATTTTAAATTGATGCAAGTGTTTGCATAGTAACGTGCGAGTCGATTTTGCACGAATGATAGAAATCGTTACAGTTTCTCGTTGTTAAGTTGGAGAGGTCGACGGCTCAGCCCCACTTATTACTTCCGCCCGAGACACACGCCTCAATAATGTCACATTTTTATTGTTTTACCTACTTCTACCCTTGTGTTATGAGACAAAAAGATGAGACTCTATCTCTATCGACCGAGGCTTGTAAACAACTTAACTCAACGTACGTAATATGTAATAGTACTGTATTGTTCCTATGTTTATAATTTATGTAAAACAATAGAAAATTAATAAAATCATTTTTACTGTTTAAAACGTCGTAATATATAAGACAACTTATTTAGAATGTCTAAGATGTTTTTATATATTCGAAAAAGCTCTATGAAATTCCGTCACATTTATTTCACTGATTGTGTAAGATGAGTGATTCGGGACCGTTTACGCTTAAGGCAAGGCAATAATATGACTAAGGCTAAACAAAGTAGCCTTAGTCGCGGCATTCTTCTTTCTTTGTAAATTTTACAATTGGAAAATATTTATAAAGCATTATGAAACATTCTAAATTACAATAATAATAATCATGTTTACATACTAAAGATATATTTTAGATTCCTAGTTAAAGTAATTTAATTATTGGAGTATAAAATAATGAGATCCATATCTTTGTCACTTCTAATCAAAAAATAATAATTTACTTTATTATATAGTTTGCACGCTGTCTTCAAAAGAAACATTCCTACTTTATTCTATCGTCCTTTTAGATTTCCTTTGAACAGGCGATTCACACCAATTATGAAAACGAAAGTTTCCCAAACTTCACCTCAACACTTTCTAATAAAAGCTCGTCTTTTTAATGGAAATTGACAGGTAGTTGGAAAAGGTATTAAAATAGTCGAGAGCATTTAAACCCTTTGAAACTTTTGTCTGCAGTGAAAATAAATAATTGTCCTGCAGAATTATACACTTCTTCAATTCCTAATAGTTAGGACATTTATAAGGATGAGAAAATTTTATTGACAAAAAGATTAATGACATATTATTCTTGAACTATTACTAAAATAAGGAAAAACTGTTTGATGACAGAGTAGGACAAACAAACATGGCGTTCAGATAATGGAAGGAAGAAGTGTCTAACAGTTAATAATTAACATATTTATTTTGGCTTTAAACAATCAGAAGCAAATATTTTCATAACATCTATTCTTCTAATAAAATATATGCTTTGACACCGAAATGTCTAGAGATCTAGAGACGAACTTTAATAACAAATGCACTAAATGCTTGAATTAAATAAAAAATGAGAGCATTAAATGATATTAACAACGATGTTGAATATCGAAAGCCAAAATAAGTCGACTCCGCATCTTGTTTAAATGCTATTTCCCTGACCCCGTCTTTTGTTCTTATAATGTATTTTTAATGAAAATCGAATAGAAAGTTAATTCACTTACGGACAAAGATGTTAGACATAAGCGTGGCCGGTAGACAGAACACGATAACCAATATATCAGCCACCGCCAGGTTGACTATGAAGAAGTTGGTCACGGTCCTCATACGGGGCGAACGGTATACGACCGCGATCACAAAGCAGTTCCCGACGAGTCCGACGAGGAACACTATCAAATAGGCCACGCAATACACCGCTGTCATGGCACTGTTATGTCTGTAGATAAACTCGTCGTCGATCACACCGAAATCTGATCTGTTCATGGTGATATTCATACGATCGTGACTCAACGGACCCTCCATGTGCGTCGACAGAGGCTCCATGTCCGGCAGAATAGCATTCTCAGGAACGAATTTCGTATTTATCACCTCCATGATGGAACTGGACAGAGCGTCCACCACGTGGTTCCTAAGATGCTCGCGCGAATGGTTCTTGTGTCGGAAATGCCGCTCGGGATGTTGCGTCGAAAAGTTATAAAAGTCCATTAAGTCCGAGAACTCCGTGGGTACTCTTAGCGGTGCCATTTCTCAACACTTAACTAAGTCACAGAGTTCAAGTAATAACTAAATATACGAGTCATATTAGAAATTATATCGTATAAAAAGTATTAAAAGTTCCGATGCCGGAGCGGTTCAAGTGGTCTCGTAGCGACGCGCGATTCTCGTAGCGGTCTAGCGCCGTCTGCCACAGACACGCTACGGCGTAGGCTCGAGCTTCCGACGCATGTGCATTTTGGGGCCTAAGAACGTGCTTTGAAATGCCTTTAAAATAACCCTTACATATTTCTCAATAAGGCTCGAATTCGTTTGTTTTGTTATAGAAGGTAATTGTAGAAAATTGGGGAGGCCGAGTGGCATGCATTCCCGGAAAAGGTTAGCATTTCATACATTTTAATAGAAGAGTCATTTAATCAAATTTTATTCAATTGGGTTATGGCTTGAGAATTAAAAAAACTAGCTGTTCTTTTTTTTATAGGTCTAATGTTTATTTTAAACAAACTGGCCTAGTTCAAATCTCAATTTGTTAAAAAACCGTAATACACGTTTATTTTTGAGAACCCATATAAATATTTTTTTAGTTAAAGTTTGTGGTATGACTGCAAAATAAATGGTATATGAGCTATGGTAATTGCAACGTTGAGACCATGATTGACGTGATTAACAACTTCGTTACTTACGGGATAGCGAGGCCTCGAAAAAATTATGTTCCACATCACTAAAGAACACTTTTTTATGGAACCCTAAAAATCGTAATGAAAATTATGAGTACATGAGTATATTTATTGGCACTTGTAGAATAAGTACAGTCTAACTTGTATACAATAAGACAAAACATCATAAAATCTTCGCCATAAAGTTTTCCTTTGAGTATTTCATCATATTAACGATGTTTATGGCACTGAGTTGAACAATTTTACGCTTTACTAGTTTAACTCAGCAAAACAAGTCAAGCTTTAAATAAAGATATCCTATCCTAAATGTATATACATATACGTATATACAAGGACAATAAAAAAACCATCAACAGCAAAAAATTTGTTGGCTTGTCTTGCTTGTAGATTACGCGAGTTGTAAATAAACCACTTTAACCGTTTAAAAGAAAAATTATATAAATAAGTTTCATTTTAGTCTAATTATGTGTTTTTTTATCACTACGTACCGGTCTTATTTATGTACTGTAATGCCATCGAAGCTAATAATCATAATTGTAAATAACATCTAAATAAACAACTAAGTTTCAAAACAAATTTTATAGACAAATAAACTGGGAGTCTAGTTGACCTATTAAGCAAAAAATAAAAAGTAAACAAACCGCGATGCGTTTTTATTTTTAAATGAAACCACATTTTCCCTTGAGAACGAAGTCCATTGCGTTTTAATTATTATTATGTAAGTATTGGAACCTATTTCTGATTCACGTGTTTCCATTTACCTTCGCGTTAGTAAGCTAGTAGGTTACTCGTTATTACTTTTCTATAGACATAGTTAATTGAATGTTAGTTGTACTTATCCGACGATAAAACGAACAGGAAGGATTAAGCAGAAAATTGCATTTGCTATATTAATTTAATTGAAATTATTGTATTTTAGAGCTTTAAAATGAGTCGCTAACTATATTAAACTCAAATAAGGTTAAAGCCTTCCAATCCGCTTAAAACAGTTTCATATAATGTAATATTTTCAAATGAAAATATTAATAAAAATGTATGAAATATAAACATTTATGTATTTTTTTTGGGATTTGTTATGTTATATAGTAGCTGTTACCGTTGTCGTCTGCGTCTCATCATTCTTGCAAGTTAATCTTAAAAAATAGACATATAGTCATATAGTAGATATATAGTATAGTTAAATACTGTCTATAGTTTACGCGAGTAGTACACATTTAAATAAAACACTTTAACGGCCCCGATTACTCCCCGTGACCATGGCTGCTGCAAAGCATCCGAAACGTCGGGCCGAAGTTAAAAATAATTTTCAAATAAGTTTAACTAATATATCGCGTTTTAAACCGTTAAAGTGTTTTATTTAAATATAGTATAGTTTTTAGACCATTTATAGATTTCATTCTTTTGTACATAGTTTTTATTAAACCGTTTTTGGAACGCACGTAACGCAAACCCTCTAAGATTTTTCCGCTTTTTTCACAATTGTCACTGTTTCTTTGCAGCTTTGTTCATCGCAGCCTAAATGCACTAACCAGCATAAAAAAAAATCAATTCGAACCAGCAGTTCCGTTCAAATCAACAATCTAGCTCTTTAGTTTTCTAATATTAGATATTCGAAATACCGTAGCTCGTCAGATATGTTAGTTTTGTTGAAAGCAATGCGCTTTAAAAGTAAACTAAAACGAGTGAATGGATTTATAGCACCCTTGATTTGGAGTCGAGTGTGGCAGGGCCGAGATACACTGCATATTGGACCACCAATCAAGCCACTACGCCTAGATTGAGAGCTAGTGAATTTTTATTTCTCCGACGTACTCAAAGCTCTTGTAGTTAATAAAAGAGTATGTAAATCAATTGAAATCTTTTTTTTATATTTGTACCTTCGAAAGTTAAAGTCAAAGTCGAAAATCATTTCACATATTCACATAGGTATCTAGGGTACACTTATGTCCCTGGCTCCCTCAAAGCACCGTAGAGAGCTGGTGATATGTTTAGTGGTTCTGGTCAGCTATACGATTTACCACACTCCCCACGTCACACTTGCCCGATGTGGGCGGCAAACCTTTGATACACACACGTCTACGGCAACGAAATACGCCGCGATGGGTTTTTGCCATTTGGTAGATAATACGTTAAGTTGTTATTTTAATCCTACAACATGTCGATGTTGCTTGTTACTTCTTCGTTAATGAAACTGATGAATCAAACTGTAGATCAATGTATCTAGGTTATATGAAATTATAATGAACGAATTGCCCAGCATTGCGTTGCGAGAGGTCCTGGGTTCGAATTCCAGGGAAACAAAAAATTGTTTCGGTCGGGCAGGGCACAGAAGTCCGATTAACTACGTGCCTGTTAAAGAACGGATAAGTGAAACGGACACAATACTGTGTTCGCTCCATGCCCCACGAGGGAGAAACGGGACTTCACTTTCTTATATAACATATCGTGGGTATCTCTTTGTGTTGAGCAGACCTTGTGTAGGTTTTTGACTGTTTTGTCTATCAGCCAGTTTATCATATGTTTTAATCCCGCCTCAATAACCCATCGTATTATGCGTGAAAACCTTCTTATTGTGTCATAGCACATTGCTATAAATTAATTAATAAGCAATTTTAGATTAAACAAAGTAGTAGATGACACGGGCGGTAATCCCAGACCTTGTCCGCGTTATATACAATTAACACTTTAATAGGTTTTTAGCATTTAAATCTTGGATATCTCGTGTAAAACTCGATTATAAGCAATGGATCAAAAACTGAGCTCTATATAACTGCTGTATAATACCGAGATCCTTATGTTAAGATACCATTTCCATCTCTTGAGCTATAACCCCGTGATGTGGCCTTAATCTGGCGTGTCCTCGTAATCTACTTGCTTCTTTATTAGCAACATATTTCCCAATCAACCCCTTATCTCTATCTCTCCTATAAACGCCTTCGTTCGCATACAACACAGGTCGCCTTGCTCAAGTCAAACAGGTTCGAGATTCGTGGACAAGAAGGATAACGAAAAAATTATGATACGATCACTAAAATAAGTAATACAACTAAATTGACGATCTTTATTTATCATTAATATCAAATATATTTACTTATATATCTCACATAAATTGTAGTCTTTTGACGGGCTTGTTGGTCTAATGGTAGCGCCGGGTAATCAGCGGGTCGCGAGTTCGATCCACACCGGGTCCAAATTTTTCAAATCAATTAATAATTTTTCTGAAACATGTTGGACTTCGTCTGGAAAAGTGGATATTAAATAGGTGGTAGGATATCGAAATTCCGTCAGGGTCACGACGCACCGTCCAGAGATGAAAAAGCCGTTAATTTTAATCACGTTTCGGTTTCAGTCGTGGATTTCCGAATATTCAAATCAAAAAGCAGTCGAACGAAGATGCCCTATCTTGTTAGATGCTATAGGCTGGAGTATATCAACTACCATGAAGTGACGCCATGCTTGCGTGTCCTCCTCAAATAAAAAAAAAACTACATCTTTCAAGCAAACAGGATTCCCCTAGTAAAAGTTCAATTTATTACACTTAAAGACTAGAGTAGAATACAAATACTAGACTGTATGTATTTGTAAGTCTGCAATCATTTCACTTCTTTTCGTACTGTACCCGTCTCTCACGACATACTTGTCAAAGGGATCCTTTGAAAAAGAAGTACATTACACAGCTAAGTAGAGTGAAGATCACATAAATAGCTCAGAAATGAGACAGTCGTGAGTTCATTGACCGTTGGCGTAATTTATGAGTACCCATTTAATGTCACAAAGCTTATCATTATGTGCGGTGCCTGAAAGCTAAAAATAGCTTATTTCAGGGCGGCAACACTAGGTAATGGTAGGTGATAAGTTTTAGTGAAGTAACCTCCTACAGAGTAAAACATTGAACTACAAATCACCTACGTCTATAGCAAATAAAAACAACTTTTGTATAGAAATCTACTGAAGGACAACTGATTTTCAATTAAATGATTAATGTTAAAACTTAAAACAACGATTTCTTTTAAAGGACTTGTCTCACATGGCACTGAAAATTTTAATGAGTTATTTAATCATAAATAGAGTTTGACTAAATTTTTAATAATAGATAATTTTATAGATCGTAAGTATATTTTTATAATATTTCTGTAATATAATAATAAAAAAGAATCGAATAACTTATAATATAATATAATTAATTAATAACTATGATTGCTAAACACTGTTACAAACGTAATATGCACCTCATAATAGTTAATTTTTAATAAATACTACAAACTTACTTACAGAAAATAAGTAGTTATAATTTGATATAGTGCTTCTAAATTAACATGTAAAATTTATTATCTGTGAGGATGTAGCCCCAGTCCCTCTTTCCTTATCCAAGTATGATGAAGGGATTTTAAACTTAAAGGCTAACCAAATGAAGCTTGATCTTATCCAGCAAACTCTTATCATTTTTCAGTTAATTTACTTAAGAAGTGGAAAGATTGCCTTAACAAACTTCCAAATTAAAAATGTTGGTTAGGTTACTTTTTTCCATCAATCTTAACAAAAAATTAAGAGAACCATTTTCTTTTTTAAAACAACAATGCACGGTGCATTATTAGATAAAACATAAAATTGTACATTACAATCAAATCGTGGTACGTCTAGCTCGCTCGTAAACTTGGCTCTCATTGAAACGAAGCCGTAAAAACTTGAATATTTAATTTATTTAGCCGATAATGAAGGGAGATACTATCCCCAATACATTTTATGGGTAAAATAAACGAGAGTATTCTGTTAGACAAATTTTGCGGTTTTGAAACGTTTGGACTCACCGGCTGTGTATTATAAACTGTAAGAAACAATTATCACACGAGTTGTATTATTAGAAAATATATGTATATTCTATACAAAATATTTGGGATAAGAGAGGGTCTAAAACCACAATTTGAAGGTTATTTTCAAGTTAAAATTAACTCATTATGTGACGCTAGTTTTTAAGGCCCATTTAAATAATTTAACTATACTCAGATTATTTTAATATGGTTTTAGAGATATTTTATAATAAAAAATCTTGTATAAATCATAAATAGATGTTAATGTGTGTACGTGTATTTTTTTTATTCAAAATTTCAGAAATAAAAAATTACCTCCTAATTAATTTGAATGAAGACATTATTCCTCTAAATCTTACTCGTACTCAACACATTATACACCCAACTTTGTTCAATTGTAAATCCTTTCCATTATATGTAGCCTTTCAATTTGTAGTATATTATCCTTTAATTTAAGCTTCTATAAGATTGCCGCTTGAGTCAGCAGGTATTTCTCTAATTTAGCTCTCCTTTGAAAGTTTATTTTCGTACACACAATTAGAATATCATTCGTCTTGGCAACACTTAGTATATATTATACTTAATAATTTATAAACTTAATGTTCAAAACGTAATAAGGAAGAGAATATACTACAAATAATTCACATATAGAATAATAATAAAGTAATAATTATATAAAGATAAATTTCTCAATTTTTTTGAAATATGGACTTCATCTAGAAATCTGGATATAAAAAGGAAGATAATCGAATTTCTGTCCGAATCACAAACCACAGTCCACTCATGAAATGCCGTGAAGTTTAATAGCATTTCGATTTCAGTCAGTGGATTTCTGAATATCCAAAATTCGAGAGATCATTTTGTATGGCCGGGTATTTCGCCGTCTATGAAATGAATTCCATGTTTGTCTCCTCCTCTAAAAATACTTATTTTTTTGCTTTTATTGAAAGTGTGATTCGTGAATTGTTGGATCAATGCACTAACACAGTCTCTATATACAAACGGTGTCAAATTCGCGGATATGAAAGGAACGTTGAACCACGTGTGTACTGCGTAGATGGGGAGGTGTGTGATTTTCCAGGATATGTGATTGAATACATAAATCATACAGGTTGCGACCCTTATTGGGAGCGTGTAAAATACATAGACATTTCATGACGTCTGTCTATCACGCTTTATATACAGGTGTGTACAATATAAATTAGTAAAATAAAAATAGTATCTCCACTTAATTATTTTTGAAATGTCAATCTCAAATTAAGTGACAGAGATCAAATCTTTTAAAATTAATAAAAGATAATGATTTGTCTTACAAATATAAGGTGTTTGAATAAAACTTGATCCCCCACGGCGGCTGTAAAGCAGCTAAAATACCGGGTTGTAATTAAAATAAATAAAATATAGCTATAACTATTATATTATATATTATTATTTTTACTACTATAAGTTAATACTATAGTATAAGATAATTGCAATAATTTGTGTTGAATTTCACTTAATTGGAAACTTTTAAACTGGCCTCCTACATTTATTTTAATTTGTTGTATACTGTACTACTACTACACTATATAATCTTTAAAAAACATTTTTTTTTCTAATACCGAAACCGTCTTATTTCAATAAAGTTAACGGGACTACCTAGTACATATTGAAAAAAAATTCTTATCAGTTCAAAATTCGAAATATATAAGCTTATTTTTAAATATATCAGAGTTTCATGCTTTGTAGCAACCCTGATAAAAATTGGTAAACTCTGCGTTTTAAACCGTTGTAAGTGATTCGATACTATAAAATAAGCGTTTTATTAAAACCTACATCTACGTTCATATAGCGGCAAGACTATTTGGCACCCCACTGAGGTCGAAAAGTAATTTTTACCAGCCGAAGCGGTTTTCGCCAACAGATTCCGATACATTATTAAATTTAAGCGGACAAGGAAATGTCAAACTATCCGAATAATATTAAAATGTTTTCTATTCTTAGCTGCATCTGATATGAGCTGGTTGGGGTCGTCGCCCGGTTTTGATTTATCACCGCGGGGAACGCTCTCTACAGCAATAACGATAGCCCTGGAGCCGTTAGCCATTTTACGATATGTGAAACAGAACCGAATAGGGAAAAGACGGCTAGGACTGTAGAGGTAAGCCTGTTTTGACGAGCTCATTGATGTAACGGTAGCGATGAATGCCTAATAATCGTAAGTTTCAGGTCGTAAGTTTAATCCCCGCTAGGTCCAACATTTTTTAAACAATTTATGATTTTTTTGAACGTCCAACATCTGGAAATCTGGTCATTAAATGGTGTTTTTTTTTTAATCCCGTTTTCCGTGGGGCACAGAGGGGTCATGAACCACCATCCACAGATGAAAAAGCCCATGAAGTATAATCGCGTTTCGGTTTTAATCTTATAATTCGAATATCAAAGCCAACATAGGTCGATAGCATCATCTTAAGATGTAATATGCCTAGGGTATCTCACGAAGCATCCAATGATCCGAGGCATTAAACAGACATTGTTAATTACGATACTGTTATTAACAGTAATACATTGTCTTTATTTGTAAGCAAGAAATTTGCTTCTTTTTTCCTCCTGTCCAAAGAAAGATTATAGATTATACTATAGATAATAATAATTTGACCATATTTGTATATTTAACATACCTCATAAATGCATGTGCTAATAAGAAATATCTGTAGATACATTTAAAACCATTTAGATAACCAGATTGTGGCTAAAAGAGGTAAACACATCAAGCCCATTTTAAATTTCTTGTGCAAGATAATACAAAAAAAAATAAGTGTAATATATTTTAGCTCTTACGTTATAGGACATCAGTCAGTAAGCACGTTCATACGGGTTGTAATTTCTACGCCTTCCGTCAGAAGAACATCCGCTAATGGCCGTCTCATAAATATTACAATGTCCGGATTTTTCAGAGAATTTGCTGAAATAAGTTACTACTATTTAAGTGTGTACAAAATTAAAAGTGTGGATAAGATCAGACACATATAGTTATTTACTTCTTGTGTATAAGATACTCTTTTCTATAAATAAAAACTTCTTTCGCTTTTTATTGTGCAAAACTTATTTTTCTATTAGAAACTTAAGTCAGAGTTTGTCTAAAATTATGATTTTATTATTAAAATAGTTTTTTAAATACATACTATCGATATATCTACTACATAAAAAACTCTTTTTTTTTAATTACCTATATCCTTATTAAATTTACGTTTTTTTTTCAGTGATATATTACGTAAGCAAAAAAAAGTTTTATACAGCAACGGAATTTTCCGGCGTTAAAGTATTTACTTAGTTAAGCTTAAAACCCTTTGGGGCCGTTCGGGAAACCGTAAACACAGGATGCAAATGCGGCTCAAGCGGTCCCTTACGAACCTCTGTATGTAGGTCAAGGTGGCCGGTAAATAAGTGTGCCACTATGGCCACTTTTCTTTTATTGCCCTAAGATTAATTGCAGGCAATAAAATCTTTTATCCTTGAAAGTTTGAAGAAACAGTGGAGATAGCTTAGACACTAAGATCCAGAAACAATTGAGTAAATTGGTGTCAAACAGTAACATACTTTCACACTTAACATTTAGTCTCTACTATAAAAACAACGATTTTTTCTAATAGATTATAAAAGTCCTGTGGCCAAGCTGAAGAGTTTGTTTGTTGAAAAGTAATTATTATCTACAGTTGCGTTTGTTTTTATAGTCTATAATTTTCAGTTACAACTGGCATTAACAGCTGTCAAAATATGACATTGACCGTTATTGACATTGACATTATACAACCACGACCTCCATTCATCCTTCGAAATCGCTAAGTGGGATGGTGGAGGTTTTAAACTTTTAACATATTTTAACAAGATATTTAACAATTTTATTACATAAAACTGTTATCGCGGTTTCATAAGTGTATTCCAATAAGCATTTAAGCGTCATAACCCTAAGTGAAAGTGATAATGGCTTTGAAATCTCCACCGGTTCTATTCGGCTTGCTAGCCCGTATATCTCGTCGTACCTTTTCTACGTCCAATGCATTAGCTTCGAAACCTGTAACTGTACGAGATGCCTTGAACCAAGCTATTGACGAAGAGATGGAGAGAGACGATAAAGTATTTGTTTTAGGTGAAGAAGTGGCTCAATACGATGGTGCTTATAAAGTGACGAGGTAAGGAGTTTTGACCTTTACAGGCGAATTTTTTTCACAAAACAGTGTTATATTAAGAAAATATTATTATTTATGTTACAATTCACTATACTGTTATCATTTTGAAGTTAAAAGTTAATGTTATATAATACATAATAATTGACTTTGACAGGTTTCTTGTCTTTGATGATATTTGATAATAAATCAATAATTAATAACAATTACAGTGATTTGTTGTCTATGGATTTAGTACAGACTTTCTACACATTCTAAATTATATTTATTTCAGGGGTCTTTGGAAGAAATATGGTGACAGAAGAGTCATTGATACACCTATCACAGAGATTGGTTTCGCTGGTATAGCCGTAGGAGCTGCGTTTGCTGGGCTTAAACCTATCTGCGAATTTATGACTTTTAACTTCTCTATGCAAGCTATTGACCATGTATGTTGTGACCATTTTGGCTTTTGTATAAACTAAAAATAGGTTCACACTGCTTAAAGTTACATTACTTTTTACCATATTTAAACCATTTTGTTTTACAACTTTATTATAATAATTCATGTTACACATTACAACTAATTAATGCAAATTCTACTTAGTACTGATATTGCAAATATATAAAGCTTAAATAAATTTATAATTTGTCCTGTTCCGTGAAAAGCCCTAACAGACAGTACTAATCTCCTATGTCCAATTACATTTCAAAATTATGATTCATTACCTGTATATAAAGCGTGATAGAGAGACGTCATTACTTAAGTGTGATAATTATTTTAAACAATTTTGCATTCTATTCAAAGCTTATTAAAAACATGAATAAAAGTAACATATTGTATATTTATTAATAAATGTTTTCAGATCATAAATTCAGCAGCAAAAACATTTTACATGTCGGCGGGTGGTGTCCCCGTCCCAATTGTGTTCCGTGGCCCCAACGGAGCTGCAGCAGGTGTTGCAGCACAGCACTCCCAATGTTTTGGCGCCTGGTACAGTCACTGTCCAGGGCTGAAGGTTATAATGCCTTATTCCTCTGAAGATGCCAAGGGTGAGTATTTTAAATATATTTACTTTAATAATCAGCAACATTCAAAAAAATTTTAAACTAGGATTTTTAAAGTACACATATTGTATATCAAAAACATAATAGAATAATTGATACCATTGAATTGTTTACAATGAATGACAAACAATTATATGGTATTATGCAAGTTTATATAGCTTTAACTTAGTCGAGGAATGCATAACATTTCCTGTTCCCGGACATAATGTCTAAAATGATCTAAGAAAAATTCCCCGACACTATATGTCTGTCTTTGAAGAATAACTTGCAAGAACGACGGGACGCGTCCGATATCGATATCGGATAGCAATTTAAATTTATAAAGATGAGGAGCAGGTTTGCAAAAACAAATTTGGATGCTCAAAATAACTATGATACGCGGACGAAGTCGCTGACACAGCTAGTATAAATTATATGGCTCTATTAGTGTCAATAATAAAACCATTATTATTATCTTTTAAGACTTTGTGCTCTGAAAAAATACTATAGGTAAGCATTTTAAGAGTAACAATAAGTCATACTTTCATGTTCATTGTTTTAATACTATGACCCCAATGTTACAGGTCTTTTGAAAGCGGCAATCCGTGATCCTGACCCAGTTGTATTCTTGGAGGATGAAATCTTATATGGTTTGCAATTCCCCATGTCAGATGAAGCTCTGTCTTCTGACTTTGTACTGCCCATTGGTAAGAAAACAAACAAAACATATTTGATTCATAAGTGGTGTGTAGTTAATGTTTGAATACACAAAATATTAGTAAAAAGACAGAAAGAGTATTGATTTTCAAAATTCAATAGTATAGTAGGCTTGATGTCCCAAAGATACATTATTGGATAAGTCATGTTGTTAGAAAATTTTGTAACAATTCTCCATTTTTTGACTGGAAATCAACCTGCTCTTTGATATTATTGTTCTAAATTACAATAGCAATTAAAAGCCTAAAGGCACTGGGTCTTTCATCTAAGGATTGGTATGTTATTTTTATAATGTAAATTTTTGCATGTATATTACAGGTAAAGCGAAGATAGAGCGCGAAGGATCTCATATCACGCTCGTTTGTGCGGGTAAAGCGACTGACACGGCACTACAAGCAGCAAATGAACTTGCTGGAAAGGGTAATTAATATTGACTTATTATATTGCCTACACATTTACCCGTTGCATATTTTTGTACACAAAAATCAATAAATAATTTAAACATATTTTAAAACCGTTATGAGGGTTCTTGATCATGATGATCAGTTTTATTTAAAGATAAGTACTCGATCAGACATCTGTATGCAGGACCCGTACCAGTATCAGATATCCAACTGACCAGTTTCCCGGTGTCTAAACCCAGCATCTTCTTTGTTTAAGCTACAGAGGGGCTGCAAATGCATTGCTTAGCGAATTTATTTGTTATTCGTAATTTAATAAATTTAGCAGTTTTAATAGATAAATTTATTAATCAGGCTTACCCATGTCTTCACTTATTCATACTTATTGAACTTAACAAAGTCCTCCTGCCTTAGATGTCCCGAACTGGGAACTGGGTGCTTGTGGAAACGACTATAGGAGACTAGTGCCTACAACGAGCTCTACATTGAAGATGGTAGTCAATTTTATATATTGTTATAGGTATTGAATGTGAAGTGATCAATCTACGAACAATTAGGCCGTTGGACTTCGACACAATCGCGCGCTCCATCGCGAAAACACACCACTTAATCACCGTGGAGCAGGGATGGCCACAGTCTGGTCTGTATTTCAAAGTTTTAAGACTAGCTCTATCTCACGCTTTTGCGTCGTCGGTGAGTTTCTGCACTAAGCATTTTGAAGCCGAGTTGCGACTTATTGAACACAGATGGCATGTCAACAAATAATTTAAGTTTTCTTTATTTCGTCTAATATGAAACGCGACGCAACTAGTAAACTAACTTCATGGATTTTTCATCTGTGGACAATGGTTCGTGACTCGGACGGAATTTCGGTATTCCTACCACCCATTTCATTTTCAGATTTCCACCATATTTCAGAAAAGTTAGAAACATGTTGGACCCGATGGGGATCTAACCTACGACCCGTTGATAACCTATTTAGCTACCATTAGTACAAATATTAATTTCTTTGAAAAAAAAAAAAATTAATAATACCTTCGTCTGAAGGATATTCTTTTATAAGTCTAATGAGAGCATTAGAGGAAAAAGAAATAAAGCGTTTCACAAACTTTTGTTTTGTAGGTATTGGTGCTGAAATATGCGCGCGAGTGATGGAATCATCCGCTTTCTTCGAATTGGACGCACCAGTATGGAGAGTGACTGGCGCCGATGTGCCGATGCCCTATGCGCGGTCCCTTGAAACACTCGCTTTGCCACGCCCACCTGATGTTGTTGCAGCTGCCACCAGCGTCTTAGCTAACAAGTAAGTATAAAAAAATCATAAAACTTTAACACTGTAAAACGCAATATACATTAGTTAACCTATTTTAATTTATCTTTACGACTGTAGATGAAGAGTAAACCCCTTTTGTCAAAGTCAATTGCCGCTATGCTAGCGCCACCTGTTTTGTCGTAGTTGGTACTAAATAATAAATATCTTTAACGGTTTCAATATGTACTACTCGCGAATTTTAAATTTGAAAACAACTAGATGTTTTATTAGAAATCTTTTGGTTATTGTATCATCTTAAAAAATATATAAGTGCTTTCAGTAGAAAGTACCTTATCCTTTATAGCGTAAAACTATTGAATATTAAACCCCTTATAGCATTAGAAATGTTGTTTCTCATAATTTACTGAAATAATTGTTCCAGGATCGCGAACGAAGCCGCAATTTAGAAGTATTAGGAATCTCTAGTGGTAGACGAGCAGACTGTAAATATCTATTGTATTTATTTCATCATGTTGACAAGCGAAATGTGATTAATAGGAGAAATTATAATATTATTATCAATTTTTTAGTTTTATTTATGCGGGAATCTTTCTTTACGGTTACGAAATTTTATGGCCATGCAAAATTTTCTTATATATTTTTGCGTTCCAGTTTTCTTAAATAAATAAAAAGACATGAGTAATTGTATAAGAACAAGTAATTAGGCGTTTTTAATGTCAGTTAAAAATTTTAACGGCATCGACACGGTAGGTCAATTAATTAGAGCAACAGCACGTAGCGTTAAAATTGCCGGTTCAAAGCCTGCCCGTGTCGTAATATTCTTCAAAATCGATTTTAAATTTATATAGTGCCATCATATGAAACATGTGAGTATAACGTGTGTGTATTTAAGTTTTCTATCGTCATGTTAACTTCGATTTCATATAATTTTAAAACAACTAATAAAAGAAAATACTTATGCATATTTTGTATAATACCTCAGACAAATACTTAATAATAGTTATAATGTACTTGAAAAGCAATATAAAGCCATACAGGGTGTTATATAAAACAAAAACCTAAACCTGTGTAAACCTACTTTCCATGTCCATCATTCAAAGCGTGGAAAATCTGGTGAATCATCCTTTTTCGCTTACTTTGATATATTTACGCCTGCATACAAGAATATTCCATACAAAATCTAGAATATAAAAATAACAGGAATGTGTTATATTCGCATACACAATGCTAGGTGAAATCCCACGTCGGGCACAAAGCAGTCGATCCATCAAAATGTCGTCGCCCCCCTTCCCCCCTCATCCACCGCGTAGCGCGCAGTGGCCAACCGTCCGTTCTATACGCTACTGATTTTTACCACGCTTTTGTTATTCTAATAAAGATGGAATGGAAAGATATACTCAATTGAAATGTTAAGTGTGTTCTGATTATATAGAAAAATTCTGTCTAACTTGGTGCATGCACACTTTTGATGATATCAATTCGAAGAACACAATTTACTTTTGTAATAACGTAGTCAATACAGACAGACAGACAAACTTCTTACTGAACCTCAAAGCATAGTATGTCATATTTACTTGTTTTCTTTTTTTCCCTTCCTTTTCCTTTACTCATAGTTTACAACTCCATAACTCTCTAAAGTCAAGCCTCGCATTATGTTAGGTATAAATCGTGTATACCCAATGTCCCACAGTGAAAAATGGGTTTTCACTTTATATAGCATTTAAACGTGTAACTATGTATTTGAATAACTACATTATTTCAGCTCCGAAGCCTTTACAAACACGCCTTCGTTATTTTAAAAACATCTCAATTTCCCTTATAATCCCGTACAAAAACACAATGCGGGGCTAACGAAAACGTCAATCTCCCGAGTTTCGTTCAGAAATAAAATGTAATTCTCGTGAATTTCGCCGGTAATTCGGTGATCGATCAAGTGAACAAGGACATACGACTGATTCTGCGAGACGCACGTGCGAAAGCTTCTAATATACTAAATGGATTTTTGCTTAATTTTTGTCGGGAATATACGCTTTATTTTTGCCTGTTTTCATCTTGGAACATTATTATTTTCCGCATTATATGAATTTTAGAAATCTATTTTACATTTAAGAATTTGAAGACACGGGCGAGCCAACCTTTTTTTTTTCAATAGAAAATAAAATTTATCCTATTGAAATTAGAGAACTACTACTATTAGACCACTTAAGCGACTGTTTTGTTTTAAGTTATAGTGTAAAAAATAAAAATATTACTATAACATGTTTGTCCTCCTATTATGTGATATTATAACATAAGAAATATAGACTAGAGTATGGATGTGTTCTGTTTTGAGTCAAATGGGAAAATAAGGCGATCAAAAGTAAGTTGTAATAAATTAAACATAGTTTAAAAATTCGATGACATGTCGAATTCTTTCGTCGAACTAGATTTAATTTTTTTTTAATAACACCATTTGCTTGTTGCACCTGTTAAGTTTTTAAGTAGTAAGAAATACGCTACGAATTTGAACATTTTTCAAATTACATATATTATACCATTGATTAAAAAAAAACAAATATAAATAATAATTTATACTATGACGTCTTTTCATTCCTCTCATGGACACACGACTTTGGCAGAATCCATTCATTATTGGAAAGCCATCAAATGAAGAAGAAGAAGAAGAAATTTACATTTAAGCCTATGTTATAAGTTATCAATTACGATCCTCGCTACCTACTTTCGCGACCTACGTCAATTCATTCATTGCTAATCCGCAAATTCTACAGAGTTTTAATCTATTACTTTAAGGACTAAACAAAAACCAGTGGCGAAGTGATCGATCAACAGGCTACGAACAAGCAATAGACTGACAATGTTAGCTGACAGTTCCGCTGTTCGCTAGAAACTTTAGCCTGCGAACAAAATACTTACTTAACTTAGTTGTTATATATTTCATACCCTCTATACCGAACTTAAAAAAATACATATTATTTTTGTTGCTTTTTGACTAGGTAATTCTTTAAAAAAACATTTTAAACTGGTTATAAAACTACACTCTAACTTACTTTAACTGTGGTTACATAATGCAGTCCTTACTTTATTATTTTACGTCGAAAACAAGTGGAAGTGTCGTTGTGAGGACTCGTAAAGAAAGAATAAAATAATAAGGTAAGATTTATCTGTCAAAGGAGAGCCATCGTTTCTAACAGGTTATAGTTTAGTAGGTACTTGTTTAGTCTGTAGTTTACGCGAGTAGTACACAGATAAATCACTTTTAACTGTTTGAAACACAAAATGTATTAGTTAAATTAAGTTGCCATAGTTTACTAGGTATCTGTTTGTAGGCGACTATAACACGTTTAAATTAAACACTTTAAACGGTTTAAAACACGAAATGTATTATTTGCAATAAATTGTATCAACTAATACAATTCGCGTTTAAAACTATTCAAAATTACTTTATTTAAAGGTCATTCAATCAATGTTACCCAAATTAATCAGAAGCCTACGACACTGAAAACCTTGCTTTAAATTAATTTACAAATCACTATGCCCCGCAGATTAGGCTGCACCGAAGCGATGAAAGGCGGCACTCTATAAAATTGAACCCCTCTTCAATGTCTAAATTCGGGTTTAAAGTCAATAGGGTGTCGTGGTTTCCAGACAGCGTAATTTCATTGGCATTGAAAAGGGGATATTTACTTGGGGGCATTTTTCAAATCTTTAAATCACGTAGACTTTTATGACTGCATCATGATTCTTTACCTAGTTATTAGTACGGTTAAGTTTAAAAATAATCTAACTTTACCAATAGAGTTTTTATGCCATTTAATACTAAGCAATAATTGCTTAATTTAATTAATAATTTGCAAACAATATTTATTTATTATAAATGTGGGTGTATATTTTGTTGCATATACAGAAATACATAAACTGTTTAATCAACTAACTATCGCGTTTTGTAAGATAATACGGTAACGGACAGCGAATTCGTAGTATAATGAAAGAATTTGCTGTTACTGTTTTTAAGCAAGTAGCTTGTTAATTTATATTACGTAATATATGTAGGTGAAAATATAGGTACTGTCCGTTTATTAAAGCTCGGTTATATTACAGAAACAACATTATATAACTATGTAAAATTTAGGGTCTAAGCATATAGCCGAAGTAGTGGTATTCCTTGTTTATATGTTTGCTTGTGCGTTACACATTTATGTATGGCAACAAGAAAGTCAAACAATGTTTATTTTTAATCTTTTACTATCTATAGTAGTTTCATTTAGAGGTTTATTTGTGGGAGCTTACTTTATTTAGGTATACTTTAGATAATAATAAGCCTTAAGCTATTCTTAACATCAAATGAACGAAGGCAATTGTTATGCATTTATCTTGAAATTATCCGTAAAATACAGCTATGTAAATGTTGTAACCCACTTTAAATGGTATTTAGATTAATAACGGATTTAATAAGCTTTAAAGGTCACATTAATAATTTTCCATATTTATTTTCCTTCGTCATAATAGTATAACATATATTGACAATTAATAGTCAATGAAATAATGTATGATAGAAAAAAAAACGGTCAAAACGGTAGTTAAAAATACGGAATTTTTTATCTATGTTAAGTGCTTAATTTCTGTAACACGTCTTACGTTTCGGCTTGTTTTAACTGTTTATTAGATCTTGTGTGTGAATTAAATATATACTAATATATAAAATTGAAAAGTTTGTTTGTTTGAGTGAACAAACAAACTTTTCATCTCAGGTTGGAATTGAGGAGTTTTAGGTTGATGACCAAAATAATTATTCTACGAAAGTTTTTAATAAAAGAGATAAAAAAGTATACAATAAATAGTCTTTGATTTTGTTAGTAGAAATGCCAAAAAAAACTATCCTCTAGAATCAAGGAAAAAAAGGGAAAGACTTTCTCGCTGCCATACATGGTGGTACTCGCTAATGGCCTGTGACAGGGTGATGGATCGGGCCCGGTCCGCTCTGAATTAGCTGCTTTTTGCACGAGATGAAACCCTCACGCTTATGAATATGCGCCTGCCTTCCTCACCAATAACATTTGCTGGTACACCATTTTTACACGAAATACCAAATACACGATATTACAGTTGATGCGAGCTTACTAATTACTTTCAATACACTTTAATTATACGTATACGAGTATGTACTAACAGGTATTTATGTGTTTTTATTTCTGACAGAATTTATGGTTCAACGTTTTTTATTGCAACAGGATTCAGTCAAAAATACAGACTATTCTTATAAATGTACTATTACAAGATGCTTGTAACAGATTTAGTGCTGTTGCAAGCATAGATATGTAGATAAATATATATATTATGGGCTACTAGCTGGTGCCCGCGACTCTGTCTACGCGGGATTAGGATTAGGATTACGTAGTATCGCGCATTTAAACTAAATGAGATGTCTATCATATCATACATTAATAATATATGAAATGATAGATTAGCTTGCAGAAAGGTAGGTTTTTTCCTAGTTACTTGACACTGAATGTCATATTTTGGACAGCTCACATAATATCTTTATAAATTGTAGCCTATGTGTTATTCTTATGTACTTATAATATAATATTTTTTTATTGGTGGTTGTGGATTTTCCGGTTAATATCTGAAACCGCTTGGTCGAATTTGTCGAAACTGTCTTAGGCATGGTGCAGCTAATTTTAGAAGAAGCAATATATTGAGTATGTAATTTAAATACTGGTTTATAACTGAATGTGTTGTCTGTAGTTTACGCGAGTGGTACACATTTAAAATAAAACACTTTAACGGTTTAAAACGTATTTGAAAATTATTTTAACTACGACCCGACGTTTTGGATGCTTTTTAGCAACCGTACCTACCGTGTGTAGTAAGTACGGCTTACTACATTCGATATTAAACACGGCTAAGTAAGATATAGGTATCATGTTATAAACTGTTATAATGTTTTATTTTAAATATCTGAACATGCCCTAAAGACTAACTTATCTATGTGTATCGACGTTTTTTACCAAGAGCAAGTTCTCATTGTTTTGTAATTATAACACAACGTTACACATTTCGCGTGGGATCGACTATTAGCCACTCTCGAGGTGAGCCTTGTATGTTATTGGTATTATTTGAAACTAGCTTGAGCCCGCGAATATATCTGCATTTTAACTCTTATTTCGACAGCAGTTATTGTTTATAGAATTTTGTTAAATTCAAATTTGTTTGATTGTTTGACAATCATACACGTTTCTCTATTTATTTGCATTTATAACCTGGTTACTGTTATGCCTGTGTATATTGCTCGTCGAATTGAAATTCACTTTATTTTAAGCGGGTAACCCTGAATGAATTTCTAAATCAGTCGCTGCACGACGAATATTATAATTAACAATCATATATTTTCTAGTTGATAACGGTTTTTTATGTCTAACTTGATTAATTACACTGAGCGACCTCGTCTTACGAAAAATGATAACACGATCCGCATATTGTTCCGGTGTACGACTAACCCAATAGTAACTATATAAGAAATTGCCTGTCAGAGACCTCTATTTATTGTAAAACCAGTTCCTATTTGTTATAATTATTTAATCGTTCGCAATTTTAGGTGAAGGTTGGAATATTATTTATGTCTACATATTGTTTTGTTTGTAGTTGATTTTAGAAAAGGTATTTAAATATACGTAAAATCTATACTAATACTATAAAGCTTAGGAGTTGTTTGTTCATTTGTTTCAACGCAGTAATCTCAGGAACTACTGGTTTGACTTTGAATTGAAAAAATATTTTTGTGGTGGTTAGATCATTTATCATCTATCGAGGAACACTTTAGGGTATAAAACATGGGAAAAAAAAATCGCTGCGAATAGAAGTGAGAGACAGTAGGGGAATTTTAAAAAAGAAAAAGGGTAAATTATTAATATTTGAGGGATTCCGTTGCGCTGTGATAACGGCTCAAGATACCTAAACTGATCTATATGTATCTGAGAATGAATCTTCATTTAAATGATCTTTAAAAAAATTTCGCGACAGTCTATATCTATATTTCAAAATTACCTTCCTAGAACGATGGGACGCGACCGATTACGTTGGTAATCACTTAACAGCTATAATTTATAAATATGGTTTGCAAAAAATTTTTTGTTGAAAAAAAGAAAAATCCTACGTGGACGAAGTCGCTGGCGCAGCTAGTAGTAGATTTGCATAGAATATTGCAATTATTTATTCCAATCGTGCGCATGCGAGGATAGTCTACAGATTAGCATTACGACGTGTTAGATCTAAATCGTAGAAAGTGATATGGCATTTTAAAACCCTGCTTTTAAATTGGCTGTCGTGACCAAAATGATAAAGAAATCCTCTTACTAAACCGAGTAACACAAAGAAATCAATGTTTTTAAATTCGCTTTTCAACTGGATATTAATAAAAAAAGTACTTCGTACGTTTACAGCATGACCATATAGTTAGTTAGTAGTTAAAGCTTTAAAAGCGAAAGTTGACATCCTGTTTACATTTATGTAAACAGGATGTCAACTGACTGATCAACAATCTGATCGAAATAAATAAAATCCCTTTCCCCCCTCTTGTGTCCGTTTCACTTAATACTTTACAGGCAAGGAGTTGATATCACCAAAACAATTTATTTTTTCCCCGAGATTCGAACACGGGATCTTGCGTACTTAACGCAATGCTAGCCAACGTGTCATCTACCATTCGGCTACAGAGCAATTAAAATCTTATCGATAACTTTTAAAAAAAAAAAAATAATATTTAAATAAAACACTTTAACCCATACTCGCGCCCCCCGAGGCATCCGAAACGTCGGGCCGAAGTTAAAAATCATTTTCAAATAAGTTTAACTAATATATCGCGTTTTAAACAGTTAAAGTGTTTTATTTAAATTTGTACTACTCGCGTAAACTATAGACATAAGAAATAATAGAAAGAGTATAAATATGTATTCCCCATGTTAGAAGACTTCACTATCTCACAAAATACACGTATTTCTTTTTTGGTAAATGCTAGGTATCAAATCTCCCGCTATCATTAAATAGTTTATTGCGTATATTTAATCCGTATAATTTGGCTGACCTTAAATAAAGGCGTGTCTTCATTGATCACGAGTGCTTGAGGAATTTACTACGCGACCTTGTACTGTGCCAATTGCTACACATTCACTGCATGTATTGTTGTATTAATCAAATATTTACTATGTTTTCACATTTTAGAGGATTACTACATCTACACTAAGAAAAAGCAGATGGTTTAATAGTTTTCTTAGGTATATTATGTATTGTAGCCATACCTGCTATTAATTTTAATTTGGTTAATCAAGCTAGCTTTGTATAATATAGGCGACAAAACCTTAATTTACGTTTAATATTAGTTAGAACTTTTGCGTAACATCACTTACAATAATTTAGCTTCTTAAGAAACAACACACGATAAATCATAAAGTACATTCTTAGTAAAATTAAATGACGCCTAAAAAGTGTGTATTAGCTACACACACATAAAAGTCTTTAAAATATAGTTAGAGCAAAAACGTTGGTTTTGGTATCTACTTATGTCATAAATTGCCTTTGATACCAAAACCATAGTTTTATATACCAAATAGCTTTTAGTACTAAATATTAATTGAATAAGATACTACTAAGAACGTATATATAAAAATCTACGTGTCTTTTTTATTAAAAGAGACTGCGTATTCAACTACAGCCTAAAAGATACTCGCTTAGGATATTATACGTCTTACAGTGTACACGCAGCTTTATCGTGGTATAGGTTTTTTGAGTAAAATCTCATTAATGAAGAATTCTCGTAAGATCGAGTGTCAAGTGAAGTGGGTCGATGAAACTAGATGCATGTTACCTAACACCTACATTGATATTCTCTTACACAGACAAGGATTTCCGAAAATATAATGTTGCAATTTATTTCCTTTTTATTATGACTGGCAATACATCTTAAAAATTATAGTTATTTTTACAAGATAGCTCTATAGATTAGAAATATACTTTTGTTCGACATACTTACATGGTTTCATTACTGAATTTGCACGCAACGTACTGGATACGAGTCCTGGCGTGCCTTCAAATCTAAAATGGAGCTTGAACTCTCCTCTTCGTTACTCAAGACTAAGTACACTTTATATTAGAGCACCCACATATTAATACAATGTATAGAAACATGTAAAGATTTCCTCAAAATTATAAATTTTGTTCTTATACTAGGAGTACACATAATTCACCTGTGACAAAAAGAAATGTATACAAACTTAACATTACGTAACTCTTAACTTTCTCATAATTAATTACTTGTTTACAGTCGCTTAAATATTTGCATTAAACGTAAGTATTACAACTTTAAATCTCTGCGCTTCCGCACGCACCATCCACTCAGGGACGTGTTTAAATTTGCGAATAAAACTAAAACCTTTTTGCATTCATTAACTCATTGATTGTTTAAGCAACGGTCACTCGTATTGAGACGCCGCGCGCGGCTGCTAGTGTTCCAAATTTAAAAAGAACGCCGATTTTGAATATTCCCTTTGGTGTTACAAGATTTCAAAATGTTGCGTATTTTCGTGAGTACTTTTATTTCATTTAAATAATTTATTGGATTGTTTTTTTAAGAATATTTTTCTTGCTGGATGATATTAGCAAATTAACAGTCAGTACCAATTATTTTTCTATACGAGTGTACTACTTATATATTTTTATTATCTGTGGCAAAAAATGAAGTAAGTATAAATCTGTAATTATAAAAAGTAATTAAAAAAAAGCCCTGTTTTTTACAAACAAGTTCTGAATAGCTATCTACAATAAATATTTTTGCAACATCCGTAGGTACATTATAGTAAGTTTATAGATAGTTATTTGTATAAGTACTTTTAAGTTTTTTTTATTCAGCGCTTAGAGGCAATCAATCAAAGTTTTCGTCATTCATCATTAAATTATTAGCGACAACACAAACACTGTTAATGAGATAAAATTCATTGTATTTACAGATTCTCACAATTACGTTATGCGTAACCAACACGCAAAAAACGTATTCCGCAGCATCAGAGTCGCAAATACGGTTTGCGTTAGAAAATAAATATGACAACACAGGCCCCGGCGCGAAAGGACCGGAATACGCCTACAACACATATAAGACCCTTGAAGAAGCTTTAGTTTCCTACGTCGGCGATCCGGACACGAAATTGCCAGAACATGAACGGGCTAAAGTCGAACGGTACGTCAATACGGACTTGTCACAACCCATAAGAGAATTACCAAAAACAGTTGAAGAATACACAGGTTTGAAACAGCCTTCGCGTCAACGGCCGACACAAGTCATACAGAGTCCATTCCAGCCTCAACCCATATCTCAACAAGAATCGTTCATATCACAGCCACTTCAATACGAACAGGTCTTCTTACAAGAGCCGGCCTTCCAAACTTACCCAACATACAAGCATAAACAAAGTTTCTTCCAAGATCCGAGTTCGAAGTACTCGTTTCTGGATTTCCGGAGTTCAGATTTAAGGCAGGGATTACAAAATGAGAAGTTAGAGTACAAGCTACGAGTTCCACCTGTCAGGCCTTTAGGTCAAGTAAATAAGGACTTGGCTTATGATTCAAATCCACAATACTCGTTTTCGTACGGAGTACATGTAAGTATATTTTATTTTTGAAAACATTAATATTTTTACATGTTATTGCACATGATGGCATTGAATAACTGGAGAATCTATTTAAGATTGAAAAAGAATTTACGACATGGGTAGGACTTGAATCGGCATCCACAGCTGTCCGTGCCGTTACTCTAACGAGTGACACGGTAGCTCAATTATTTAGAGCAGTAATTATCATTTTTATCAATGGATTTCTTTTAACTTAGTTCAAACTCTTCTTTTAACTCAATTTTACAGACTCATTCGCGCGCCAATCCAACTCTTACTTTTTATTATTGATGTTTTACAAAATGACCTTCAGTTTATGAAAGTTGTTGCTAATCTTTTTAGTAAACAACAAAATTCCTTTACCATTTTTGGTGTCGGTTGGTACGTGACAATTTCATTTAAGCGTTAATAACAAAATTTCTTAATAACAAAAATTGCAATTTTTTTATTGTCAACTCATGGTTAAAATATAAACAAAAAGTAATCCTGTGGATTTTATATTCTTAACTCGGTGATCTGGCAAACGTTTTTTTTACCGTATGAAATATTTCTAAAAGGTACTCTTAAAAAATAGACATTTTTTGTTACATGTTGCGGACATCTTTTAGATCAATTAAAGAATAAGAATTGTTTTATGCAAATCTTTGGGTAACTAGAACCGTTTTCGCAGGGCACGTAAGGGAAACGATCAAAGATGAAGAATTTTCCCCGTTACCATAAATCCTGCCTGATGTTTTATGCCAACCTGATGTTATATAGCCTGACGTTTTATTCATTATCGTGATGAATTTTTAAATTCAAACCAGTAGCATCCTTAAACATTATATTTGAATCGCGTCTTTATCAATAGGAGAATATGAATAGCAACAACAATACATACATTGTGACGATGCAGTGTTTAAGACAATACGATATATCAAGAAAAACATCTACATTCATACATTCCTACTTAGTTAAAAGCCGTACTTTCTAATAAGTTGTAAAATAATCTTTTATACATTGTTCATTCTATATTGTTATTTTTACATTGCCTCGATGTCACTCGAATCCACAATGACAGTGCTCCGGGCCATCGTTCCTCAAAACTAAGCTACCGTGTCCAAGAGCACGAAACACTTTTGTCGTGAGTTTGTGTCTCGGCCATGTCATCTAATTTTGTCACGCTCAACACATTTTTAATTTATATAAAGCACGGTTGATACACAAGATACACACCTCAGACTTGCTTATTAAATTTGTAATTTTTTTTTATGTTGCTATTGCGATATAGCGTAGATGTATCTTTTTACCGCCAATACTTTAGTTACTTATTTATAAGTTACGTTTTGGTGGTTTTCAGGAAGAGACGATAACTAATTTGAGGGTTATATAACTGTCCAAAAATTAATGGGGAAGTGTAATTAATATAATTCGAGCCTTGATATTAAAACATCGGCTTCCGTAGTGAGACCATGGAAATTTTACCATGTTTGTTTTACGCACACAGTAGGCCTAATATTAAAGGCAAGTTCACGTATTTTGGATTTAAAGATATAGTTATAAATACATACAATAAACAAAAATAACAACAGACAAATGTTGTATAACTCAACTACATACATTAGTCTTTGACATTGTGAATTTGACCTTACATATGCTCCGGGTTATACTAACACGTTATGAGCTAAACACGAGTAGCCGCGGGCATCGCGTCACATACAAAAAGATATCCATAACAAGGCCATTCCGACCGGAATACACATATATGGTGAAAGTAAGAGGGAAAGCAGAGGCATTACGCGAATCGGTGAAGTAACAAGGAATGTCAATGTGAAGGGCCAAACATTTCCAGATGCTAAAAAAAACTAAAGATCCACCAGTAAAAATTAAATTTTGGAAAACAAAATGGTAGCATAACTTTGCGTTTATACACTTGTCAGTGATGAAAACAAAACTTCGTAAGTCCAAGTGGTTGTCAATTACTTACGAAACGTATACAAAATGTATACAAACAATAGATAAAATACAATATATATATGTAATTGACATACATGTTTTAGGGAAGCTAATATTTTTTGAGCTACTGAGCCATTGAGCTACCATGTCCATAATAAATGACTATGGACACCGTAGCTCAGTTGCTGGGATAACAACGCCATCAAATTCCGTCTATGAAGTATTTGTTCAAAATAAAATTTTAATTTAAAGTCTTAAACGACAGAATACAATGATAAATTAAATTAAATTTCCTAACACACTATCTGTACTACAAACATAATCTAATTCTCATATCTGGCAAGGTTGGATTACCCACCGGCACCATTAAAGGTAAACTTGCGAAATATTTCTTGTGTTTTCGGCTGCAAAATTGCAAATGCTAATATTATGGCTATCAAGATCGCATAAACTTACGACATAATTCAGTTCAATGCCAGTGAAAAGTTACTTAGGCCTATTTCAAATTCGTCTTCCAAATTCATATCCTCTCTCATGGAAGAGGTTTTAAGATTTAGTAAAAATGTGTCGACAGCTGATCTTGTTGAGATGTATATGTTATGTATATATTATACACACCAGCTTCCTTAGTCAAGCCCGAGCTTGTCTGTCCTCCTCTGACAAAAACAAAACGACACAGCAATTATAGTGACAAAATTACGGAAACTCTACACCTGATAGGCTCAAAATGGGAATAAAATAATTGATGAGACGTAATGTTATGCAGATAAGCTGCGTAGTACACACTATTACTTTGCGCCCTCGAGCAGTAACAAAGGACAAGATGCATATACAAATATTCTTTGATTACTTTATTAATATGAGGCCGCTAGAGGCAAAGTAGACTAACCTCAAATCGACTTAAATTATTTAAATTTTCATAGTCTAAAAATGTTTATTTACAAGAGCACAGTGGCCGAAAAACTGTTAACATAATTTAATAATAGTTAAATTCATCCTCGCCTTAATTGCTCATTTTTATTTTCCAGCTTATTGAAAATCATGTTTTTTGTTATTAGGCCATTCTGCCTCTAGCAGCCTCGTATGTATTATTAAATCGATGCATAGCAAAACTGCAATCTAGTCGTTGATCTCCGTGACGTTTTGCGAAAAAATCTGTGCTAACTTCAGGAAATTAAGATAAAGGTGTGGTCATACTTATGTAACCCACCTACTTTAATTAAGCGTAACTATGTAAGCGAATTCTCCGTAATCATTATTGTTTGAGGTTGAACGATTATAAAGTAACTGGCTTAAAAAATGGGTACGTTAAAAAAATTGGAAATATGATTTGTGATAAATGATTTGACAATACCTATTCATTAAAATCCGCATTATGTAATAGGCATAAAATGTTTTAAATCGTAAAATATGTTTATCGCTTTCTTTTCCGGAAATTAATGTATTCATAAGTCCTTTCGATTTCCATAATATTATGAAGACATCTTCGTTACATAAATATTTAATATTTTCTCACTTTATATTTACACACTTTTGCAGATGTAGTTTTGATATACCTAAGTGTTTGTTTAAGCTTCAGACAATCTTATTTGGTTTTTAGTACTTAGTTGTTTTGGTAACTAAGAAAATACATAATAAATTTGAAGTAAGTATATTAATTTTGACCTGTCATATTATGCACCGTCCACCGTAACTTAATAGTTAGGTCTGCTGAGACCTAGAGTACCTGAGAGCAAATCCTGGGCACATATAATAGCTTCCATCTGACAATTCACAGAAGTCTATAAATAAAATCAGTCACACAGGCACAGTGAAAAAAAGAGAAATGTGTGTATGTGTGTGGGTATTTTATAATAATGTAGGCTACATTCTTGCACAGAATAATACATAATTGTTTATCTATATTCTAGGATAGGAAAACCGGCGATTCCAAATCAGCCCACGAGAGTCGCGATGGTGGTTCAGTGCAGGGATTTTATACATTCATGGATCCTGATGGGAAGCAACGCACCGTCCATTACACGGCAGATGACAAATTCGGATTCAGAGCAACGGTTCAGCGAACGCACATGAACACGCAATAAAACTCTTTAACGGTTTAAAACGCGTATTAAACCGTTAAAATGTTTTATTTAAATGTGTACCAGTCGCGTAAACTACAGACAGTATTTAATAAAACTTGTTTTAGACTGTGCTATATTTTTATAGCACAACAATATAATTGTGAACGTGTCATTATAATAGTCATCGGAAATGTGCTTGAAATTTTTGCTCTATTAACTATATGCTGTAATATTACGCAGTCTACAAAAATAAGGATTAGTTTTATAAAGGCGCACACACACAGTACTTTTGACTTTTAATTTGGTACCAGTGCTGTACAAAATGTACAGTGTGGAAACTGATTATTTTTTTTTGTATTGTCACTTTATTAAATTATTCGGTAATTTCCTATTCTATGAAACAGGCCAGTAGTATAATTTGTAAAAGAACGCGAACTATATTAGTATATTTATTGTTTACTACTTGACGTTTCTGATGTTTTACAGCGACCCTGGTCATGGGGGAAAGAAGATTAAACCGTGATATTTATATCATCTGTACCACTCGCTTAACTACTCAACAATGTATATACTTTTGTTGTTTGAGCAATTGGTGTAATATAAATTGTTACAATCATACAAAATAAATGTATAACCGTTTGTTGCCAAATTAGGTTGATAAGCATTTTAATAATAAATAAATGTTACAATAAAATAATTATATGTGACATGTGTAAATAAATATATTACTTTAGTTATTTTATTTCAGACTAAGAATCCTTCATGATTGCCCTCAAGTTAGTACGAGTAGAAAAATAATATACCAGAGCTGTTTAGGCTGTAGATAGTCTTTTGTCGACTTTAGGTCATTATCTTAATAGCTTCTAGTATTTTCTAACTGACATTAGGGATGCCTTGAATATTAAAAGGTTTTAAATCAATCGCAGTGAGTCAATAGACGCCACATCTCCTGCTTTTTCAGCCGCCTCCTTCAGCAGCATCAACAACTCGCAGAAGGTGGCTACCGCTTTCCAGGCGTCGTTTTTTTCTTTTCATCCATGATCGGAGGACGGGACGTACAGCCTCTATCGTTCCTACCCCGAACTTAGGGCTCATTAGAACCTCCTCCCATTTTCCCCAACAGGCCCTCTTGAGAATCACGCCTCACGGAAGCAGCAACCTCTCCCCATGAACGATTTTCCTTTAACGTAGGCTTCTTCCTAATCTTATATACAGTTGCTAAGAACTCAGCTTCCAGGTCCCAAGGGGGTGTTCCCGCTAAGAGGCTGCGTCAGTTGTTACGATTCGATAACAGCGAGCTACTCGAACCGCGATTTTTCCGTTTCTGAACTCAGCCTGCCCATATAGGGGCACCATAAAGTTTCCGCAGTAAAGATTCGTAACCCCTTTGTCATGTCCTAATAAAAATCGCCTACCATATTGTATTCAGCAAAAGTCAGTAAGCTCGTAAAACTTACTCGTTAATTATATTAGACTGAAGTATAATAACTAAATTCTATAATTAAGAAGTAAGGAACTTTAACAAGTCGTTTCAATAACAATTATTATATGTTTCTCTAATATAAAAGGTCTGCACAAAAAAAAAACGATTATTATAATTTCAATTAAGAAAAATAAACAATTACTCGATTTATATAAAGAATTTACAAATTTCTGCTCCTGTAGGTTTTAAAAGATGTACAAATACAGAATTGTCGGCCCGTCAGACTCAAAAAATTTGGTTTTTACGTTCTTTTTTTTTTTTTGTGTAACTTTATAGGAATGATTGATTCAGAGCCTAAATAGTTTTACGCCTAGAAGTTTAGGCTAAAACACAACCGCGACCGAAGCGGACGTAGATAGCCATAATCAAACAACGTGTACAGATATTCGTTCACCTTGTACAAATGCTATGAAATTAACTAAAAATTGATTAATTGTTAATAAATTACGATAACAGTGACAGGTGCGATGAAAATCTTTACGATATAAGGATTAGCTGACAACGGCCTCTCTGATTAAGGAGCTATGATTTTTATACCTAATCGATAAGACGATTAGCTCACGTTGTTTCATATATTACGAAAACGATTTTTATAGTTTTTACGCAACATATAAAAAACAATGTGTTATCTATATACAGTAAGAATAGACACCGATACAAGTTAATGAAAATATTTAAGAGGTTGAACGCGAATTATATTAGTTATATTTAACTTTTTTATTTTTATTAACTTAAATTTCTATATTAACGTATAGATCGTGTTTTAACGTGTTTTTTGGTGAGTCACCAACTCACCTAAAAAACTGTGAACATTAGATTTACGTAATTTATACCTTACCTCAAATAAGATTACGAGACAAAGACAGACTAGTGCTATTATAGGAAAACAGTGGATAATTATCTTAACAAACAGATAGAGAAATTCGAGCTAGAGCACACGGTGGCATAAATGGTGAGAGCAGCAGCGCTCAATTTCCGCCCGTGTTTTTTTCTATAATGCAACCCAAACAGAAAATGTGTTTGATGATTACACGACATTAAATACAAGTACACTATAGTGTACAGCGTCGTCGAAAAATGAAAAGATAATAATGATATAAAATTTCTTAATACATAATTAAAATTAGAGAAATGATAGGTCAAATACTAATACCCAAACCTTCGGGCATCGGTATCACGCAGTACCAATGATACAAAATCCTTTATTAGTTAACTTATTATCCGAACTATTCTCATGTCCAATGGACTTAAACTAACAAAGCTCATAATAGAATAATCCCAAAAGCACCAAAATAAACAATTAAACTGTCAAAGCCCGTCACAACAAGATCTTTGAAGGATATTTGAATGTGATACTAGTCTAAGAATTGTTTTGTCCTTTTTTATTCGTATTCAAGTACGTCACTTATAATTTTCCATTGATATTTTTATAAATGAAGTCAACAGAAATATTTAAGCAAGTAGATACTAAAATCGAAAGGCAATGAAATATACATACATATTATCATTATCTAACCTCAAAGAGCAACAGGAACAACGATTTTAGAAGTTTCACCCATGTTTAAATAAAACACTTTAACGGTTTAAAACGCGATATATTAGTTATATACGGGCAGTCTCCCCGTGATCACGGCTGCTGCAAAGCATCCGAAACGTCGGGCCGAAGTTAAAAATCATTTCCAAATAAGTTTGACTAATATATCGCGTTTTAAACCGTTAAAGTGTTTTATTTAAATGTGTACTACTCGCGTAAACTATAGACAGTATTTCACCCATGTTGTTGACGTTAGCCGTAAGTATCGAAATCTTCGTTGCTGCGTTCGTTCGACTTGCTGGCTCTTGTTCCCAGTGTATAGTGGTTCTGATCGGCTATTGTCTCCGAGGAGGTTGTAGTACGATTTACCACACCCCCCACGTCACTTTTGCCTAACGTGGGCGTGCATAAGGCATTCACACCGTGAGTTCAAAAAAAAGGACTTGTTGTTTCCCTTATTATGTTATCTTTCGCTAAAGAGCATCTGTAGCGTATGCACCAATAATAACGTTCCATGACCGATGTTCGAACTCCAGACCTGGCGAACGTAAATCAAGGGCTCAGGTACAAATGGAATGAGAAAGTCGACGGGCTCGATGCTCTAATGGTGGCATTTGGCTAACGGGTCGTGGGTTCAATTTCCACTGAGTCCACATGTTGCATTCACTTTAGGATTTGAACCATGTCGGACTTTCACAGATGAAAAAGTTGTGAAGTTTATTCGCGTTTCGGTTTCAGTCTAATTTCCGAATATCCAAAGTCAAAAATAGATATTCAGCGCATTTTAGTGTTATATGGCTGCTCATCTTCACGAGTGCACCATGCTTGGCTGTGGTCCTCTAAGAAAAAATATGCGTGTCTAGAAGTCTTAATGACTCAAAAAATAACAATACCAAAAACGCTACAGTTACTTACTACAACGAACAAAAGATTCCCATAATGTTTTACGAAAACAGTATCCATTTAAAGTATTAAGCAGATAATAGCACACTAGACGATAAAAGTAAAAATATTACAAAAACTTAACGTCGACCACCAACCGGCAGCGCGTGGTAAATTCAATACATCTATCCGTACAATTATTTGCATGTAAAAAAATTTAAAGCAACCTTATTACAATGGAGTAGAGATCATTTTGTATCTCAACAGCATTATTTGGTTACGGTGATCAGGTAGGGTTAGAATAACTCAATTCCTTGGGGAGTGTGCTAAAATTTTAGACGCTGAAAAAATATGAGAAATGGTGTATCTAAAAAAGAGGACAGGATATTGAATGACTAGGAATTTGTAAGGAGAATGTGTAGCCTGGTATGGTTCTATGCTTGTGTTTACGTAAAAAATCAACTTAGTCTAAGGTCGTTGAATCATAGTTGATATATACTAAATAAAATAGTGCAATTAATTTTACAGGAGGAACTCAGACTCAGGCTTATGTTTTAGAAAAATAATTACAAGAGAGCAATATCTGTACTTTGCGCGAGTGCTACACGTTTAAAAAAACGCATTTAACGGTTTAAAATGCAAAATATATTAGTTTAAAGAAGTTAAGTAATATATTTCGCGTTCTAAACCGTTAAAAGTGTGTTATTTTAATAACTACGCGTTTCCCCGTGTTTCAAACAATGTCGTCGCCACAAGTATTCAAATAAGAACAAAAAAATCTTATCCCTTCATCGATAATTTTTGTTACACCTCTCAATCCCAATTAGATAATATCAATCTCAAGTAATCGATATGCGATGCGCACGCGCGTTTTGTGGTTCACCACTAACATACATACAAAAACTTGTAGAATATTGAATTACAAATGAACCTTACAAAAAAATATGGCTTGTAAATTATCAATTTGTATTATGTTATTATGTTAGTTACGTCTTTACCGGGACTTTAGAGTCAACCCATCTGCAATCTCTCTTCTTCTTTCGTTGCATCTTCATGCACTGGAAGAAGAAGAAACTAAAGATGTTCTTACAATTCGATCTCTGTTTGGATGGTATAATATAG